TTAGGTTTATCTGAAAAAGAAAAGGTTGAATACAAAATAGAATTAGAAAGAAAAATTGGTGATTATCAACATAGAAAGTGTGAAAAATGGCGAGATGATTTAATGAAAGGAAGTATGTAGTTGGATATATTTTTCTGTACTTTTTAAAGTTAAGAAGGACAATAATTTTATATATTTTATATAATTTCTGTTTAGGCCCAATTGTAGTATTTATGCTAAAAAATTTAGAGGAAGCAGGATGTAAACCAGATAAAAAACATTTTAAATGCCTACCATGTGATAATACACGTAGTGGAGGATTTTCTCCTGATCATGGTATAATGCTGTGTCAAAACAGATTTTCTAGTAAACGTCATATAGAAGATACAATGGTACATGAAATGATACATTTGTATGATCACTGTCGATTTAAAGTGGATTGGAATAGTTGTTTGCACCATGCATGTAGTGAGGTTCGTTATTTCCTGCCAGTTATTGAAATTGTAATTGCATAATACCTTTTGACTATCTATAAATAGGTTCGGGCTGCAGCTTTGAGTGGCGACTGTAAATGGACTCGCGAAATTAAACGTGGATTTTTTAATTTTACGAAACAACATCAGGTTTATCAATGCGTGTTGATTAATTTATCTTTTGTGTATTTATCTTCCTTAAACAACTTGCGTAATTGCAATGTTATTCATTTTCACACGTTATGACATAAAGGCTTGTGCAAAGAGACGTGCTATACTTTCTGTTCAGAAGAATGCGGCATGTTCAGCTCCCGGTGTAGCGGAAAGAGCGGTTACTGAAGTTTTCGAAAGTTGCTTTAACGATACAAGACCATTTGATGAAATTTATTAAGTTTACGCGATATCGCAATTAACACTAATATTTGTTACATACTATTGTAATAGTTGTGTAGTAAATTAGTAATTATGTATCAAAATAGAAAATTAATTATTAATTCTTGGGATCACTAAAGCCAGGAGCAAAATAAAATAAAAAAAAACTAAATTATCAATATAAAATACTGTCCGGCTTTAACGCATCCTAATTTCTGATATTCAAGAGTCTAGAGATTTGGGAGAGCTACAAATATTAGGTCACTTACTCGCTGCCTTACAATGTGAGCTTAACGTAGTGCATATAAAATGTGTCGCATCTAGTATCTTGCCGAAATATAAGCTTAGACTTAATTCTAAACTCCATGCAGAAAAATAACAAATATTAAAATATAATAAAATACAATAAGAGGCAAACAATCTAAGTTGTAAATTCAAAGCAATAATATATTTTTTTTGTTGAATAATAAAAGTGTTGTTCTTGGACACGTGTCCATGGACATATATACTGTCTCTGTCCATGAACAGTCTATGTCCTTGGACGGTCCATGTTCATGTCCATGTCCAGGAACAACACTGTATATTACATTGTTGCAATTTATCAAATATTATCAGTTATTATATAGACTTTCGCTAAAGCAAGTTTATTTTTGGTTTACAGTATGGATTTAATGTTATATGTTATTAAATAATACTGTAATATATATCTATCTATTTAAAAATAAAAATCATAAAACATTAATATTTATTTTTAATTTGCAGTATAAAATAAATAAATAAATAAAGTTATTTATATTAAAAATCTTAAAAATTTGAAATCTTTTTTTTAAAAAAAAAAATAAAATTTATTTTTACTTTTTTAACAAATATTTTAAAATTTTATTTTTTTTATAATCTTACAAAATTGATTTTGAAAACAATTATAATTAATAAAATTTTACAAATAAACTTTAAGAAATTAAACCGCTTTTTTAAAAACATGAAGGTTATTTAATTAAAAAAAAAAATGTTTATAGTAATTTCTTTTAAAATTTATTTCAACTACTAACCAAATTCAATAAAATTTTTCGTCTAACTGTAATCCATAACTATATAAAATTAAAATACAGTAAAAAAAAATTTATTAAATTTGGTTTAATAGTAATAAAATAATTAATTGTATGCTACTGTATACTTTTATTAATAAATATAGAGAATAATCCTAAAATAAATAAAAATTTTTAATATACAATTTGTAAATTAGTTGTATACTAAACAGTTTAAAAGTATTTTTTAAAAATAATACATTTTTACTAATAAAAAATTCCATTTATGACTTTAATAAAGTATCAAATAATCAATATGCGAAAGATTAAAAAAAAAAAAAAAGGCTTGAAAAATTTTAAAAGGTTATTTACATCTATTGGATTATACTATATATATATCAATGATAAATAAGAAGAAGGGAATGTTTTTGCGAAAAGTATTTTATTGGAATTTAAACAGAGTATCGACTCTTTGCAGTAAATTACTTTATAATATACTGCTACAGTACATACATATATAACTGTATAAAATACTTCTTTTGAATTTAAGCTAATCCGCGTAATTGACGATTTGTCTTCGGTAAAGTGAAGTCATTCTCATAAAAAACTATTTTAAATGATTAATTTACTGTTATCTTTTTTTAAATAAGAATTTCGATTATCATAACGATCAATTAGAATTTAATTCTCATATAACAATAAAGTTTTCGACTTTAGTTAGCTTCCGACCATGTTTTAAATTTTAAAGTGGCTGTAAGGGGAATATCCCGTGACTATTAACCGATTATGTACATCATCACAAGCGTATAAATAGGGTTTTTTTTTGATTTTTTTTTTCTTCCTCTCCTACATTCCTTGTGTTAAATCAAGGGTAGGTAATTGATAAATTAAAAAAATTTATCTATCTGTTTATAATCAATTCATGTATTATAAGTTATGCTTTGAAAACAAACTGTTTGAATTTTCTTCGGAAATCATATTTTTCAATGATTTAATTTTCTTCGGAAATCTCATATTTTCAATGATTTTACAAGAGAATTAAGGCTTTGTCCAAAGGCAATTTTATTAATGATGGAACGTGTTAAGGGGTTATCCGATTAATTAAACAATTATATTTTATAAAATTGGCTTAAAAGAGAAAATGAAGCATAACAACCAGCTTCCGAACGGCCATTTCCACAAGGATTGGCAATTGCGCGTTAAGACCTGGTTTGATCAGCCAGGACGCAAAAAGAGAAGAAGAATTAACCGAATCCAGAAGGCTGCTCGAATCGCTCCACGACCTACTGAACTCTTAAGACCAGCAGTTAGATGCCCAACTCTTAAATATAACACCAAATTAAGAGTTGGACGTGGATTTACTCTTGATGAACTCAAGGTTAATTATAAATCCTTTCTTCATTTAATTAATATTCGCAATCTCAATATTTTGATTTATTTTGTTCCTTTATTGAGATTTGATATTACAGTAGTTTTTATAATACTTTGACTTGTTTGTATATTAAAATATTAATTATTGTTATTGATTCTTTAATAACAATAAAAAGAGTCATAGTATTAGTAATGTAAAAAAATTAGTAGACACAGGATTATAAATAGTCTTTTTTGGAAACTAGCATACATATATTATGTTAGTGGCATTTGGACTCCCTTTATTAAATTTTGGAATTTCATATTGATAGGCAGCTGGAATTCGCCGTAAGGAAGCGCTCACTATTGGCATTCCTGTTGATCACCGACGAAAAAATCGATCTGAAGAATCTCTTCAACTTAATGTCGAAAGATTGAAGGCTTATATGGATAGACTTATCGTCTTTCCCAGAAAACCCCGTAAACCCAAGAAGGAAGAACAAAAGGAGGCATATGAGGTATTATTTTAATTTTATATTTCATTAGTAAAATTTGTCATCTGACTTATGTATAATTATCATCAAGAAAAAGAAAAACGAATATGAGGTATTATTCTTCAATTGTATTTTTCCATTGATTATGAAAATCTGGTTACATGACTAATATACAATTATCATTAAGAACAAGAAAAATGAGTTTTCCACTGCTGAACAACATAAAGGCCGCATTATCCCCATCCCCATTCAACAAGTATTGCCCACAGAAGATGCACGTATCATTACTGATGAAGAAAGAGCAGCTAACGCGTATGTCACATTGCGTAAAGCGAGGTCTGATGCTCGCCTTGTTGGTGTGCGTGAAGCTCGCCGTAAAGCAAAAGAAGAGGAGGAAGCCACCAAGAAGAAGTAACAGTGTTGTTGGGCTGGAAACTAGAACCCCACTGGACGTCCAGATTTTTCAGTGTTCAAATGATTCCAGTGAAAAGTTCCACTGGAACGTTTTTTTTTTTTCACTGGAACATGTATATTATTAACCAATGAAATGCATGATAGTCAATAATATTTTCTAATAAATTACTTCGCTGTTACAATAGGTTATTCAGACATAATTGTACACATATGTGTAATTAGTTCGGAACTTATGCAAATAATATTACAATACTTTAATCATAAAGATTGTTTGCAAATTCTGCACATAACCTATCGACTGCGAGTGTTATTTTGTGTGTTACCCAAAATTTTTCAAAGTAAATTTTTTTAAAAAAAATTTGAATAAAAGAAACTTAATAATAATTTAGTATTTGCTATTTCCACCCATAGTTATGTAGATTATCGCCAGAATTAGAGAAATAGTGATTCCCTAAAAAATACAGATTAATATAAACATATTTAAAAATCCAACTCATCTGTCTATACAAAAATAAAATATAAAAGCAAGAATTACTGTATATCTCATACAGTATATGAATACATAATGGCCGAAACCTTGCGTTAATAAACTAAAGATTATTTTATTGATATATATTTAACATTCAAATTTGTATCACCCGTACTTTATACATAATGGATGAAATATTTGACAAAATAGGTTGTTACTTTCATAAGTAACAAGTGGTTTATGTATATAATGTCACAAAATCGAATTAGATACTAATTAAACATCAATTTAGTGCCATTATTATTATACAAAGAATTCAAATGTTCATTACGTTATTTTAGAGCTGAAATAATTTTTACCTAACAATGAAATTTGTTAGTTTGTTTTAAGTAAAAACCTCAAAGTTGTGTAAATTGTACTCACTTCATGCACGATAAGAAAACATATCTTTCTGACCCTCAACACGTTCAATATACTCTTTTTCCAGCAAAACGTCAATGCATTTTTTAATATCAGGTATTTTAGGTTTGAAACGATTCGACAATTGTGCAATCACTTCGTTCACCAAGGCAACATGCTTCAAAGTTTTCCTGGTCTTCATAATACGAACAATGGCGGCCTATATATATAAAATAAGTAATTGTAATTCTTAATGAGTGAATAATAATGATATATGACCAATTTTGAATTTACGAACCTGCATCAATAATTTTCTGTCTTCCTCCACAGTTTTGTGGGTTTCTTCTACTTCTACTTTTT